ATTGGTCACTTCCCTTTGGGGTTGCAAGTAATAATTAACGGTTATTGCCTCCCTGTGTGATTCTTATCACCCCTCCATTTGACCCTGGAAGCCTGGTTTTGCACTGCTAAGGGAATACTGCTTGTAAGTGTATATATACCAGGATTCCCAGGGCACGAGAGGACAGAGAAGAGAGAAGAGAATGGAAGAACTAGACGGGTAAGAACCTGAGAGGAATGAACTGAGATGGGGAAGAACTAGATTGAAGGGCTAGAAGAGAGGACTAGAAGAACGAGATGGAAGATGAGGAAGAGCCAGATGAGAGAGAAGGAGACGGGAGAGGAGCTGATAGGGGAAAGAACTAGATAGATGAGAACCCAGAAGGGACAGAACTAGATGAAAGAATTAAGATAGAACTTAGAGGGGACAGTAGATAAATATAGAGAAATCAGGCAAGAAAGGAGCTAGACATGAGAACAAAACTGAAGCTGTGTATAAAGGATGTTATGCCAGAGGAATTAAAGCGAATGGACCAAAGAACTCGGCGTGCGTAGACTGATTTTCCGACCTTAAAGAATAGATTCTCAGCTGGTTGATAGATCCTTCCGCGGACCTTGGAAAGGAGACTATTAGGGGCTGGACCCCCATAGTCCCCAACAGGTCCTCTGAAAGAGCAGCAAGTGCTCTTAACCACTGAACCGTCTCTCCAGTCCCAGAACAAATTTTGACTAGGTAAAAACAAGTGGCTACACTACTAGAATAGATTTATTTGCGCTTCAGGTCACAGTTTGTAGCTTGGGTTTGGTAACCTAGGGTCCTGGTCACACATACACTGGTAGAATAATCGTCTGCTAGTCTTTTCATTGAGTAGCTGCTGTACAGCCAGTCAAGGTACATGACTGGACAACAATCATTTACTATCAAGAAGGATGGAGCATAATCACTGTACACAATCATAACCCAGTAACCTTGGCTTCTGACTTCAAAAAGGCCAGAGGAGAACTGAGAATAACTTGGAAAAGTCACACCAGGCCCGGCAGTGGTGGCGCATGCCTTTAATCCCAGCACTCGGGAGGCAGAGGCAGGTGGTTCTCTGTGAGTTCAAGGCCAGCTTGATCTACAGAATGAGTTCTAAAATAGGCTCCAGAGCTACACAAAGAAACTCTGTCTCTAAAAAAACAAAAACAACAACAACAAAAATACCACCACCCCCTCAAAAAAGTCACACCATATGCAAAGTCTACCAAACTCTGACAATGCAAGAAATTACCAAGGGCAGGGCTGGGGTGCAGCTAAAAACTAAACTAGATCCTTGTTTCAACAAAAGACCACAAACTGATCTAACAAGTAAGTCTGCACAGGTTCCTATTTTTAAAGACACTGTTAATACAGACCACTTAATCTTTCACCTTTTAAAGACAAAAGACACTGTATCATCCACGAGTTATTTTCCAATTTTTTAGCATTATCTGCCAAAATAGTGTGCCAGGTGGTGGTGGTAGTAGCGGTGGTGGCACACGCCTTTAATTCCAGCCCTTGGGAGGCAGAGGCAGGCCTGGGCTACAGATTGAGTTCCAGAAGAGGTGCAAAGCTACACCCTGTCTCGAAAAACCAAAAAATTTAAAAATTAAAAATAAAAAAAATTATCTGCGAAAAACCAAGAATAAAAAATTATCTGCCCAAACAGCACAAAATTAACTCAAGGCCCCCAAACTGTTATGTCCCCTTCCTATATAGGGACCTTGTGGTTCCTTTGCTGTACACACTCCTTCACTGAGCAAACTAATATATTCAGCTTTGATTGCAGATGAGATCTTGGTGGTCTTCAGGCAATGTTTCACCAGTATGAGTCCTTTTTAAATGAGAAAAAAAGCTCTGTCTTCATATGCAGAGGAACTCAGTCCTACATTTTATATACAACTGCCTACTAACATTAACAGTGTTAAATAAAAGTTCACTGGTATTAAACATAGAAATTTTATTAAATAAAAAAAGTACATCAATCTGCAGATATAAAAACTGACAACCAACCTTTCTTGACTAAAAAACAACAACAAACTTGCTAATCTTAAGAAATATTCCCTGAAACCAAATGTGGTGGTGTACCCCTGTAATGCCAGCACTCAGGAGGCAGGGGCTGGGCACCAGGAGCTCAAGGACACTCTTAAGCTACAGAGGGAGTTTTGAGACCCTGTCTCAAAACCAAAACACACACATACATCCTGGGGGGCAGGAGGAAGAGGAAAGAAAAGAAAAACTCCCTGAAGCTAATTTTCTCATCTTAAAACACATATTTGACATGTTTTTCAGAAGTTCCCCAATTATGAAATAGTTGACTTAAAGTTAACTACTCTAGCAGGACACGGTGGATCAAGCCTGTTGATTAACTTAGCTACTGGGCACATGAGACCCTTAAAACCAACCAACCAAGTTAACTACTCTAGCAAAGCACTATGGAAATGAACAAAAAGGGTACACATGCAATGGTATTTCAAATACTACTACTGTGAGTAGGATTTATTTAAGAAATGAATGACAGCCGATACAAAATGTTTGCCTCCGAGAAGTATTTCACACTTATAAGGGAAAAGGTAACTAATACTGAACATTTTCTTTGTCCAAAGTATCTAATGTTCATAAGGATTTTGTGTAAGTTTCATAGTCACTAAGCAGTTTCGAAAGGTAGGCTTCATGACCCCTTTGATTCATGCTTTTAAATGACATGACAAATTATTTTATTCAAGTTATGTTTTCCAAAAGAGAGGGTTCTGTGCTAGTCGTCTTTGAAAATTTTCATACCTAGAAAAGAAAATTCAGATTTATATAAGAACATTTCAATCACAATTTCATAATTTACCCAATAACTTTTATCAAAAAATAATTTTATGTCATTTCCAAAAACTACGTTAAAAAAGTAGACAGTAACTCTGGAAGTCATCATTATGAAGAGCAGGAACAGGGATCTAAGGTGAGGTGGGATAGACAGCTCTTGGGGGAGAGGAGCGCTCACCCCAACCCCCCAATCACACTGATCCCATGACAGAATGTCAGGAAAGGGAATTACTGCACATCCCTGAGAGCAGTTGGCTCAAAGCCACAGCAGCACTGGGACAAAACACAAACCCAGTATGTTCCAGGGCCCTTGTTCAGCAAAGTACTACCTCCTACAGAGCTCTGAACCAGCTCCCCACTGGGACATTCAAAGTGAAAAAAATCCCTACAAAACAGGAAATTGGAGAAAAATGGTCATATATTCAAGGTGCAGCGTAAGCCACATGATGCCTGGAGTGTTGACTTTCTATTTTGTTTGTTAATGTTTTTGAGTTATTTTTATTTTACTTGTAAAAGCATTCCAAATGAATGCATGTATGTGTACCATGTGTGTTCGTGATATCCACTGAAGCCAGAAGAGGACAACAGCTCCTCTAGAACTGGAGTTACAATTGGTTGTAGATACTGGGAACTGAACCCAGGTCCTCTATAAGAGCATCAAGTGCTCTTAACCAGAGTCAGCTCTCCAGCCCCAGGGAAAAAATATCAAGTGTCAATATAGTATTTCTAACTCAACATATACACAATGTATCATCCCTAATAGTGATTCCTAGAACACAATTATCTTTCCCCATCTTTATGAATTTCTAATGGTTGCTATGTAATAGGATACTTAGGGTTGAACTATTCCAGATCTGAACACTACAGAATATACACTATTGGTATGCAATATATTAACATATGTTGATATCCACCATAAAAGACTATGTTTACCTCTCTAAGAGGAAATACATCACAGGCAAAATATATATAGTTACTAAAGTCTTAATACTAGAGACTGAAATTGTTGCATACCATTTCAGAACCACATTTGCCGGGATGAACATTTCAGATGGATTTGGTGTCATCTGGGCCTGAGAGAGAGCAAACGATGAAGCAAAATTGTAGAAGTTGTCCAACATCTTCTGTGTGAACTGAAAAGTTAATAACTGATGTTAGTGAATTACATTAAATATTCAGTTTAGACCTCAATACTTTTTTTTTTAGACCTCAATACTTTTATTTATTTAAAAATATTCCTGTATTAATTTGGTTCTAAGTAATATAAGTTCTAAGACAGCTGGGTATGGTGGCACACACATTTAATTCGAACACTCAAGAGGCAGTAACAGGCAGATTTCTATCAGTTCCAGACCAGCTTGGTCTACATAGTTTCAAGGTAGCCAGCGCTAGAGAAACAGGGTCTCTGTATTTACAATAAATAACGCAAATGAGTAAGATCTAAGACAGTCTAGTGAGGAAAGCTTAGGGTAGTCATAGGATGACATTGGTCTACAGGAGTAAAGGGAAAATCTTACTTCAAACCTTTCATCTCAATGTCTGCACACCCCTCTAAAATCACTCTCCTCCAATCACCATATTTTCTCATATAAAACAATAACCATCAGCCGG